CCCAAAGGTTGTTTTTCACCTTTGGATGGCTGTTTTCACCAACTTAAAGTTACCTCAAATGAAAAAAAAAAGAAATTACTAGTTGGTATTTGCCTTGAAAGCGTCACCTACAAGTTTCTGTTCACGCAAATAGATGCATTTGTTGTTTACCTACAGTGAGATAAATCCAAGTACCAGAAAGGAACAGAATCACAGAATCACAGAATCACAGAACGTTAGGGATTGGAAGGGACCTCAAAAGCTCATCCAGTCCAATCCCCCTGCCGGAGCAGGAACACCCAGATGAGGTTGCACAGGAAGGCGTCCAGGCGGGTTTTGAATGTCTGCAGAGAAGGAGACTCCACAACCTCTCTGGGCAGCCTGGTCCAGTGCTCTGTCACCCTCACTGAGAAGTTTCTTCTCAAATTTAAGTGGAACCTCCTGTGTTCCAGCTTGTGTCCATTACCCCTTGTCCTATCATTGTTTGTCACCGAGAAGAGCCTGACTCCATCCTCGTGACACTCACCCTTTAAATATTTATAAACATGAATGAGGTCTCCCCTAGTTCTCTTCTTTGCTCTTTTCTTCTATCTTCCATTTCTGACAAACTGCTTACATATCCCATGCAGTCAGGCAAATTCTATAGATTCTTACTTGTTTCAGTCAAATTTTTGCTAGCTGAAAAAAGTTTTTCCTTGCTGCCTGCTTTTTAAGGGAGAGCCTTTCCTCTTAACCTTGCCAAGCTGGTGGGTAGACCTTACAAAAAAATCTCAGAGCAAAAATACCCATAAAATTTATTTATCTTATCCTCCCAGAGAAGAACTCAAAAATGTCTTTAATCTTTCTTTCCATGGTCCAGAATGCAGGGGGCTGAACACCTTTTGGTTAAGGAGAGTTCTGTATCATGCGGTCAAAAATGGCAACGCTGATGATGTCAAGTAATTACAGAAGTATCCTGCAGTCAGTGTGTCTGCGCTGCAAGATGAAAGCCAGTGAGTTATCTGGATGAACCTATAGAGGAAAGTAGAGGAGCACTTCTTCTGTGTATACCTAACACACAAATGAGTCAAACCATTTTGAGTTGGGAGGAAGCAAAAAGCTCCTGACAAAAGACAGGGTTTTAAGAGA